CTTCATCAGGGAGCTGATGCAGCACAAGGGGGTCCCGTTTCTATCCCCAACCAAGGATAGAGGGAGACAACAGGCTCTTCTCCAGGACCTTCCACACACCTCAGCTCCTTTCTACTTCCTCTGCCATCCCGGGGCTCAGTCTCTTTGACAAGCTATCCTAGAGCCCGTCCTGCTCTAACCTCACCTCCTCCAGGCAGCCTGCCTAGATTGGCCTCAGCTGTAATAGGCCACCAACAGCCTTAATAAGCAAAGTCTGGCCAGCAGTGATTTGCTGCCACTATTTATTGAACACCTACTATGTGTGGGATACTGTCTTAGGCCTTTTCATCCATTATCTCTTGTTTAACTCTCACTAAAACCCTGCGAAGTAGGTATCATTATGCCCATTTTTACAGATGGAGAAACTGAGGCTCAGAAAAATTAAATCACTTCTCCAAAGTCACTAGCTAATAAGTGTCAGAGACGGGGTTCAAACCTAAGCCAGTCTGAAATTCCAAAGCTTGTGCTCAAACCACTAGCCAGTGTTGATCTCCTCAGGCTATTTTTCTGTGGGTGTGTCCATGTCCGTGTCCTGCCTCCCCCATTAGACTACCCCTAGGGCAAGGTTATAACTCTCTCCTCAGACAGTGAGCTCCCTTGTGATGGGGGAAGGCCCCATCTACTCCTTCTTCAGTGTCAGACGGCTCACTGGTTCTGCAGGGGCCAAAGGGAGACAGCGCTAGGAGGCTGGGAGGGGTACTGGTTGGCCCTGGGTACTGTGGGGTGCTCTGCCAGCCCCTACAGAGCTGGAGTCTTCTCCCAGACATAAGAGATGTCTGACCTTCCAGAAGAAAGACTTCAGTCCCCAATTTCTGTCCTCACAAGCCCCAGGGCCCAGGGCACTGAGACCCCCACGGTGAGGCCAGGAGGCTGATGGGTTGGTTGGAGGACAAGGCTGGGGCAGGTGGAGAGGTTCCAGTGCCAGGGGCATGGGGCGGGCCCCGAGAGACCCTGGAGCTAGAGAGAGGGGAATAGATATTAACTCCCCCTGCTCCCTACACATGTTGCTCCCTTGGGGCAGCAAAGCCCCAAGCAAATACCAACCACAAGAGTTATTCCAGAGGGTTGCTTTTTTTAAGCACTGGCCATGCACTCAGGACCTGTCTCCAGGGGGCGCATCAGAAAGCAAAGGGCAGCAGCTCCCTGCTCAGGCGCTGGGCTAACTCAGACCTGAATCCAAATCTTGCCTTTCCGTGTCCTGGCTGTGTGACCTAAGGTAAGACTCTTTCCGTCTCTGAGCCCTAGCAGGGTTGAATGAGAAGGTCAGAAGAGTAAAAAGGCTCAGCCTGGCTTAGGATAAGCTCCTGGCAAACAGTAGCTTAAAGGTAGATGATGAACGGGGCACTTGGGTGGTTCAGTTCGTTAAGGGTCTGACTCTTGATGTCGGCTCAGGTCATGATCTCAGGGTCATGAAATCGAGCCCTGCATCAGGCTCTGCACTCAGCATGGAGCCTGCTTAGCCCTCTCCCTCCCCCCTCTGCCCCTCCCCCTGCTCTCTCTCTCTCTCTCAAATAAATAAAATCTTTAAAAAAAAAAAAAGTAGATGACAACACAAAACAGCTCCTGGAAACAGCATGTGTTGCCTTACTCTGGTCCCCATCACTTTCCCCAAGTCCTCAGCACCTTGAGTGCCTGCCATGAGGCATCCATGTGGCAGGATGGGGCTGGAAGCCTCCATAGTGTCCCCTTTCTCAGCCAAGAGGGTCTCGCTTAGCTGTCTGCACAGAAGGGTAATAACAACAAATTTAAAATGAAAGAAATAGCTAAATGTGCCAGGTACCGGTCTGAGTGCTTTACATGAATTAAGTCATTTAATCCCTGCCCAGCAACCCTAGGACATCAATATTGGTATTGGTCCCATTTTAGAGATGAGAACACTGAGATACACATTCAAGGTTAAGTAACTTGCTGAAGTCACAGAGCTAGGGAATGGTGGATGGGAACCTAGGCTGGCTGGCTCCAGAGTCTGCACCCTTAACCTCTCAGGTCTGGCACAGAGAAGCGAACAGCCGCCCCATGCTGGCGTGCGGAGGCTCTCCCAGGTGTGGCCTGTACCTGGGGCTTGGGCGGCCCTAGCTGGGTGCAGGCTCTGGGCTCGGTATCAGCATGAGCCTCGCAATCCCTGGCCTGGCTTCAGGACTGCGTACCAGGCCCAGGGAAGTGCTTGGAGAGTGGGGTGGTTATTGGCACTGGGTGCAGGTGTGGAGAGCAGGCCCGGGGCTCAGAAGCTCATGGAAGCCTGCCGCTGGAGAGGAGCAGATCAGGCAACCAGCTGTGGGCTGGGGGTGCAGTGCAGAGGCTCGGGACACAGGCCTAGCTTTGTTCAGGGCACTCAGCTACCCCCCCCCCGCTCCGTTTCCCCATTTGTAAAATGAGGACTGTGACAGTACCTACCCCAACTTAGCTAGTTGTGCCTAAAATGTTCCAACCAGCACCTGGTAAGCCGGAAGCGCTCTGAGGGGGGTGTGCCCTCCACTTAGCGGTTCAGTCGCTGAGACCACGGTTGTCCTCTGCTCCAGTATCTTGTCCCTTCTTTACCTTTATCCAGCTTGCCTGCTGCATGTCGAGACTGTAAGTGCCACCCCCTCAGGAAGGGGACAAGGTTCGAATACACAACTAGATCTGGAGGTGGCACTCGGGAGCTCAAGCCACAGAAGGAAGGACGAAGAAAGTCCATCCTCAGTCTGTGTGACCTCAAGCAGGCACAGCAGAGGGAGCCAGCCCCGGTGGGGGGTCCAGGGACCGGAGCACCAGCCTGACCTTGGCAGGCAGCTCTTCCTCCTGGCCCTTGGACTGTGTTCAGTGGGTCTGTGGCTCACAGGCTGGGCCCCGGGTGTGGGATGGCCAAGTGACAGGGAAGGGATGCGGTCACCAAGGAAACACCCAATCCCAGATCCCCAACACCCAAAGCCTGCCCAGAGCCTTTGGGTTTCTGGAGACAGACTGAGCGCCTGCCAGTCCTGAAGAACCCTAAATACTCTTCCCTCTCAAAATTAACTTCCCCTCTGGCAAGCTGTCGGCCTCACAAGGGCAGGGGCTGTGCTGGACTCATCCCCACTAGATGCCCAGCATATACACAGTGCCTGGCACACAGTAAGTACCAGGCTAATACCAGGCTGATGAATGAATAAGTGAATGAACCTCACACAACCTAACTCCCACCCATGATTCCAGCCCTGACACCCTCCTGAGACATCCTAAGCCACTTACCTGAATGTCCCACATGGACTGGTGAGCCCCTTAGAGGCCAGAGGGGGGTGGGTGGGGGGCATGTTGTGTTCCTTGCCCAGCATCCCCCGCACAAGCCCCCCCCACCCAGGGCCTGTGCAGCCCCTCCCCAAGGCCTGTTCACACCCCAAGTTTTGGGGGTGATGGGTGGGGTGGCAGCCCCCAGGGTTGGGGGTCAGTGGGTTTGCAGAGCTGCAGCCGAGGCCTCAATCACCTCTACCCCCAGTCCCCCTGCTCTGTGTAGGACTCCACTGCCATTCCCCCAGGGCAGCTCCCGCCAACTCCTGGGGTACCACCTTGGGAAGTGCAAGAGGAGAGCAGAGGGCGCCTGCACAAGACAGAAGAAAGGCCCAGGAGTTCCCAGAAACATCAGCTTTTTCTGTCCCTTCCCGTCCCCTGACTGAGGATGGGGGTGGGGTGGGGAGTTAGGGATGAGAGTGGGGGAAGGGATACCTTCCATATAACCTGTTCATCTCCCATTAACTCACTGCTGTCCATGGGGGTTCAGAGACTCTGAAGACAGCGCATGGGGTAAGGGGACAGAAGTGGGGGCGCTGAGCAAGTCAGGCCTGTGTCTTGGGGAAGTGTGGGAAGGAGAGTCGGCTTGTTCTCCCGGGGCCGCCACCGGCCCTCCAGAGAAGCCAGGAGCAGCCAGAAGCCTCCCTCGTCTCCAGAGCACGCGACAGGGGGCGTGTGGCTGTTGGGCTGGAAGCGACCCTGCTTCGCGCCACCTGCCTGGGTGTGGTTCCAAGCCCGGCTGGAGCTGCGGCGACCTCCCCCTGCTCTCTCTCTGCGCTGTCACCCCCACCCCCTGTCCTCCCGGGGTGGGGGGGCACCGTGTCCCCTGGGGCTCGGTGGCGGACGGGGTGGGGTGCTGTCGGTCGGGGAAGGCCGGGTCGCCCCTCCACCCCCAACCCCCCAGGCTCCTCCGGGGCGGCCCCGGGCCCCGACCCCCACCC